GGAGGAGGAGGAGGAGGAGGAGGAGGAGGAGGAGGAGGAAGGGGACAGGGGGACAGGGGGACAGGGGGACAGGGGGGCTGGGAAGGGTAGAGGGGTGAGGGGGATGGTAGGGCAACTGGGCGATGAGGCAAGGGGTGGGGACTGAGCTGAGGCGGGCGGCTCCTTCAGGATGAATGCGTATCATAGAAAAGCGTTGTTTCGTCCGCTTAGCTTCTGGATCTCCAGGGATGGCCTCATGACTTTTTCAGTCCGCCATGAAGAGATATAGATCGGGGGCGGAGGAAAGGTACCAATACCGCTACCCTCCGCCCGTTGTCCTCCTTTTCGGCCCACTGGGAGGTCCTCGTCGCCACTGCTGGAGTTGCCTTGCATTCCTGGTCAGAACGCCCTCGTGGAGAGGTCCGGGGAGCCAGACAGGTAGCGGTATCAGTACCTTTTGGTTTCCCCAGACCGGGGTCGGAGAGGGGATGTTCCATGAGGCTGCAGGAGGGTGCAACCAGGAAGGCCGAAGAACACTACCCCCTCCAGGGCGTTCTGGAGCGCTCTCGGAGCGCTCTGCAGCGGCCGCGGCGCCCGATGCGTCCTCCGGGCCCGCCAGCCCCCCGAGACCCCCCCGATCTCGTCTGCCCGCCGCCGCCGTGCGGGCGCGAGGCATCGCGGCCGAGGAGCGGCGGGCCGGCCAACGCCTCCCCGGGCAGCGGCACGGGGCCACCCTCTCCGGGCAGGCTACGACCCGTCGGCGCTGCGCGCGTACGCCGACTCTCTCGGCATAGAGTGCCCGCCCCTGCCGCGCCGGCCCCGTTCTCTGCTGCTGCTGCTGCTGCTGCGCAGGTCCAGTTCGACCCCCCCCCTCCCCCCTGCCAGGATTGAGTCGGGCCTGTTCCTCTACAGGACGAACAGTCAAAAATAGTCAAACATAGTCTGGGGACATTTTTTTTTTTTTTGTTTGGATTTTTTGGCCATTTAGGGGCATTTTTTGTTTGTTTTAGTCCAACATTCCTTTATAGGTTTGTAGGAGGACAGGCCCGACGTAATGCCAGGAAGAGGGGGAGCGATGCGAGGAATGGGGGAGGGAGGGAGGAGCCTCGCCGCCGCCGCCGCCGCCGCTGTCGCCCTCGTCGCCATCCTTTTCCCTGTCCCCGTCCTCCTCGCCGTCGTCGCCGCCGTCGCCGCCGCCGCCCTGTGGTCCTCGTGCCCGGCGCCCTCGCCGTCGTCGCCGCCGCCGCGGTCTTCGAGTGAGCTGCGGGGTGGGCGCTCGCTGCGGGGCCGCATCCGGGTCCTGGGTCGGCCCAGGGGGGGGGGCGGCGGCTCGGCCGAGCCAGCGCCACGCAGAGCTCTGGCCTCAGGGGGGGGCACTGCTGCATCGAGGAGGAGGAGGAGGAGGAGGAGGAGGAGGAGGAGGAGGAGGAGGAGGAGGAGGAGGAGGAGGAGGAGGAGGAGGAGGAGGAGGAGGAGGAGGAGGAGGAGGGAGGAGGAGGGGAGCACCGATGCACCGGCGACGCGGTCCTGTCGGACGGCCGTGTTTCTCCATCGGGTCATCGCCGATGCTTCGTTTGTTCGCGTGTGTGTGTGTGTGTGTGTGTGTGTGTGTGTGTGTGTGCGTTTGCGTTCTGTCTTAGCCTTTCGCTGAATTGTTCGCCAGTCTGGCATGCCAGCAGCCTGCCTGGTCGCTTGTTGTGCTTCTCGTTGGGCGAATGATGTCTGATCGCTGCCTGATGCTGTCTATTCTGAACGGCCTGTGTGATTTGCTGCAGGGCTCATTTAATTCGAAGCCTTCCAGAAGTTCCACGAGCCCTCCGTCCGATGCGAGGGACGCAGTCGTACTAATCAGCAGAGAACCGCAAGCGCCGCGATATCCCGTACTAGGACTGATCGTGCCAAGCGCACCGCACAGCTTCAGCTGGACAGTTCGTGTTTCGAAAAGCTGTGATTCATGAGCTGCAAGGTTTTGGGAGGTCTTTCCGTGCAGATCTCCCACGCGAAAGACATTGCGGGAATAGGATTTACCAGGCGTGGGAGCATAAAAAGGTTGCCTTACATAGTCCGTGCTGGTGAAATCCAATCCTGTACACTTGCGTCTTCGGCGTCGCCCCTTCTGCCAAGGTACTTCGTACTGGAACAACCGGTCATGGAACGGGCCAAGGCGCACATGGACCCGAAGAGCTCGTCAATTTGCTCCTGGTGCTCTAGGAGCCTCGGCGCGGGAGGACGAATGTCAGAAGAGGGACGGACAAGGGACGTGTCACGATTTTTTTGTGCTGCGATAGGGCATGACGAAGCATATGCATAATGTTCGGTTGAGTTCGAGCAGGAGCCCTATTGGTAAACCTGTAGTGGCGATGACCCGATACACGCCGTCCTTTGAAAGTAGGTATTTCTGGATCCCCAGATCCCGATCTACTTTGGCCGCCTTCCTACTTCAAGAGTCGAGTGGCTTTCCCTCTTCCCTCCTCTTCAGGGGGCGGGCGGAAACCCAATCTACTTCCAGTGCCTTCCTACTCCACGTTTCTGCCCACGTCTTTTCCGACTTCCGACCGACGGGTAATGTTGGGTCGAGTTTGGGCAGGGGCAACATGGGCAAACCTGCAGTGGCGATGACCCGATCCGTGCTGCCACGAGCACGACGGCTGCCTCGATGTTCCCGCCGTGGAGGCCGCAACGGCGACCACGCGGCAGGCCCACGGCAGCCCCCACCACGAGTCGGTCCGACAGTTGCCCGCCGGTCGTTGGAGAGGCAGATATGCCTGGATCCCAGGACTCAGGAGGGAAAAAACCAAACAGACACAATTAATCGTCGATTCCCCAGAAAACATGGGAAAATATGGGAAGTGGGGGGGAAGACAGAAACCTAGAAACTATAGGAAAATATGGGGAATCTTTTTATTTGTGTGTATTTATTTGTGTGTCCCAGTTTCCCTTCAAAGACCACAATCTGTTTTAGTCGAGGAAGGAAAAGCGCCACGGACACAGACGTCTGGCGCGTCCGCGCGGATCTCTCGGGGTCCGCGCTGAGCCTTCCCCGGCGGTGCCTCGGGCGCCGCCCCTTTGCGCGCTCCGCGCGCCAGGGAGGGGGGCTCTGGTGCAGATCCGAGAGATCCGCGCGGAGCGCCAAAAGTTTGTGTTCATGCAGTTTGTTTCATGTTCCTACCCACTTCTTCCGACCGACTGGTATTGACCGAGTTGATCATGCTCGAGAGGATTGGACACACGCGTGGACCCCGAGCAGCTGCTTCGGGTAACACGTGGGAACCTAGACACGTGAAGCCTTATCTGTGTAGAGCTCACTGTATGTGGAAACCCGCTTGCGTGGAATCTACATGTGGGACCGTGTCTTTGCGGAACCCTTTGCGTGTGGAGTCATGTTTGTCGGGGCCCTATCTGTGTGGAACCCCATGTGTGTGGTGCCCTCCATATGTGGACCCTTTCGTGTGTGGAGCACTATGTGTGTGGGCCCCCCTCCCTGTGTGTGTGTGTGTGTGTGTTGATCCGTACTTAGGACTCTCGTTGTGTGGAGCCCTCTGTATGTGGGCGTGTATGTGGAACCCTACCTGCGTGGAACCCTATCTGTGTGGAGTCCAGTAGCCAAGTGTGTGTGTGTGTGTGTGGTATCCTGTGTGCGTGGAGCCCTCTGTGTGGACCCCTATGCGTGCGGGACTCTATCTGAGCGGAGCCCATGCGCGTGGAACGCCATGGGCGTGGAACCCCATGTGCATGAGTTCGCGGTTGGAGGCCTCCCAGAAGGCGGCGCAGGCTCTTTCGATCTTTGTGAGACCCTCCAGAAGGTTTGCACAGCCCATTTCGGGCTGCCTGCAGTAGCTCCCAGGGGGCCTCCAGGGGCCTCCACGGGGTGGTGGTGGTGACGCCCGGCAACCCGCTTGGATCAGTGCGCCTCGCGCGCGAGCTCACATCCGTGGCCCTGTGTGGGCACGCTCGTCGCTGCGACCAGGCGCGGCCCTGGAATTTGTCAGGCAGTGCCCTGGTTGGGGTCTGGGGAGGAGGAGGAGGAGGAGGAGGAGGAGGAGGAGGAGGAGGAGGAGGAGGAGGAGGATGAGGAGGAGGAGGAGGCCGAGGAGGCCCGCGAGCGGACGAGCGGGGAGTGCGACTCGCTGACCCCCCGCTGGGCACGCTCGTGCTGGCGCGCTGGCCACAATGGTGGCCAGCGCGCGGGTCCGTAGCACTTTGGCCCAATACACCTTAGGCGATGCTTAAGAAAACCTAAGTTTTCGTCCAGAGTCTGGATTATTCTTAACTTTTCAATGTAAATCCCAAGATTTTGATAGAAGTTCTGGGTTTTATTCAAGTTCTGAGACTATGAATTTCTTAACCCATGATTTCTTAAGCATTTCGCTGGGTGTACTCCCAACCTTGGCATCGCTCGGACGTGTGCATTTGTCCTTCGGCGAAGACCATCGAGGAGCATCCTTGGTCATCTGGCGATAAAAAACCACGCACGAAACCGGACAAAAAACATAGGGAATATAGACGTCCGAGCGATGCCCAGATACTCCCAACACGCAAGATAGGCATCTTGGTCCAGACGTGTCCCGTGCCTTTTTCCGGGTGGGCCAGACTGCATCATTGGAGGGGCGCGCTTCGACTGCCGACATGCCTGTGCCGGGCAGTGACGAGAATGTTTGTGTCAGGGAGGGCAGCGATTTTGCTTCCTTGATTCTGCTGGCGAGGCAGGCGCACCATTCGGAGGTCAGGTGCCTCGAGGACGAGGTGCAGAGCTTACGCAAGAGGCTGACGGCTATATGTGGAGATAGGCAGAGCCCTTGTGTCGACATGCACGCCAAGCGAGCAGACTCGCCCGTTGATCCAGAGCCGACTCAGATGGGCACCGAGGAGCGCTTCCCCGATCGGAAAACCTCCGCTGATGCACAGTCTGCAGAGGATGAGAATTCGGCCGGCATGTTCCCGTATGATCCGCGCTTTCCCAATCCATTAAACAGCCAAGAAAGAGACAGGACGGCATCACCGGAGGAAGGCAACACGAGGACAATCGAACATGGCAGGATGTCAACATTGGTCCCCACGCTCTCCAGGAGAGAGAAGAGAGTTTCAACGTGGAAGGATCTCAGCAAGATTCTCCAGCAGAGTGCCCGATACAAGAGGTCACACTTGGATTCCTTAGCGACACAAGGTGTCTTGGGAAGGCTGGTGCATGATCCAATGTTTGAGGTCTTTATTACGAGTGCAATCTTACTGAATGGAGCAGTCATGGCTGCCGAGGCGCAGTACCAAGGGTTTGATTTGGCCGTGTGGACCAATCATGAGAGTGCATCTCGTGTCTCCGCTGATGTGTGGCCGCACGGTGAAACAATATTCGAGGCTTGTGAATGGATATTCGGCCTAATTTTCCTGTTCGAGATTATGCTGAAACTTGTAGCTACCCGTATTAAGTTTTTCCGAGGTTGCTTGAATTGTATAGATCTTGCAGTCGTCACATTCTGGGTGTATGGTCGTGTAAGCTACGGTGGGAGCGTGAATGCGCAGATGCTCCGTATCGCTCGAATGGCACGTTTGCTTAGAATTGTACGATATTTGAACAACGCTGCGTTTGATTCGCTCTACATTATGGTTACCTCTCTCAGGGGAAGTATGATGATTCTGGCATGGTCGTTCCTGTTGTTGCTGATGTTCCACGTGGTATTAGCACTGGTTGTCAACCAGGCCCTGCGTCTGTGGTATTTTCAAGAGAGCCAGGCTGAGGAACAAACCGAGGTGTTCGTATATTTCGGTAGTTTCTCCCGATCACTTCTCACGATGTTCGAGCTCACCCTCGCAAATTGGATAGTCCCAGCGAGGGTGCTGATGGAGAAGGTGAACGAGTGGCTTCTTATCGAAGACGCCTACCGCGAATCACCGCCCCCTGCCTTTTTGGAGACGCCCATGCGGCCACATTGTTGGTCCGACGTCTGGCCAGGCTATCGGATTGGCCCACCATATATAATTTCCCCGAAGCCGTTGCGGAACCCATCAGGGGAACATTTGGCAGAGGAAACGAGAGGAGCATGAGAGGGATGAGGGCGAGGAGGGAGAGGAGAAGGAGGAGGAGCAGGAGGAGGAGGCGGAGGAGGTGGAGGAGGAGGAGGAGGAGGAGGAGGAGGAGGAGGAGCAGTAGCAGGAGGAGCAGTAGCAGCAGCAGCAGCAGCAGGAGCAGGAGCAGGAGGAGGAGGCGGAGGAGGCGGAGGAGGAGGAGGAGGAGGAGGAGGAGGAGGAGAAGGAGGAAGAGGAGGAGGAGGAGGAATAGAGGAGGATGAAGAGGAGGAGGAGGAGGAGGAGGAGGAGGAGGAGGAGGAGGAGGAGGAGGAGGAGGAGGAGGAGGAGGAGGAGGACGGCGACGGCGACGAAGATGAGTAGGCCTCTTGAGGCCTCCTGGGGGCTTCTGGCAGCCTCTTGGGGGTCTCCGAGCGGTTTCTTACGGGCCTCCAGGGGGCATCTTGGGGGCCTCTTGGGGGCTTCTGGAGGAAGGACTCTATGGGGACCTCTTGACCTTCGGAGGCCCCACTTGCGGGTCTCTTGGGCGCCTCTTGGGCCGTCTTGGAGAGCTTTTTGGGGCCTACGGGGCCGCATTGGTGCGCCGGACACCCGCAAAAGCGAGAACGCCAACACCATGGGAAGCAACCTGATAATTCATGATTTTGGCCTCTTGGAGGTCCTCTTAGAGCCTCTCGGTGCGTCTTGGGGGCCTCTTGGGCCGTCTGGAGGGCATCTCGGGTTGTTTCGGGGCCATCTTGGCCGTCTTCACGGTGTCTTGTGGCCGTCTTGGGCCCATCTTGACGTCTTGGAGGCCATCTTGGACGTCTTGGGGGCCATCTTAGGGGCCATCTTGGCTGCCGTGGAGGCGATGTTTCAGTTTTCTCCCTCCCGGCGCGTCCTTACGCGTCCTTCCGGTTGGCCTGCGCATGAGGCCAACGGCCCTTCAGGGCATCTTTTAGCAGGGCCAGAAACTTCCGCACATTATAACTCACATGTGGCACGCCATGCGCCCCTGTGGCAAGCCACCGGGGGGCGGTGGGCGAAGGCGCCTACGGCGAATCACCGCCCCCCCTGTCCTATTGCACACACCCACGCGGCCAAAAGTTGGGCCGAAGTCTGGCGAAGCTGTTCGAATCTGTGTTCTCCCAAGCCGTTGCGAAACCCCTGTGGGAGGGAACCTTTAGGAGAGTAAGAAAGGAGGAGGAGGAGGAGGAGGAGGAGGAGGAGGAGGAGGAGGAAGGAGGGGGGAGGAGGAGGAGGAAGAGGCGGAGGAAGAGGAGGAGGAGGAGGAGGAGGAGGAGGAGGAGGAGGAGGAGGAGGAGGAGGAGGAGGAGGAAACCTCTCGAGGCCCTCTTGGGGCCTCCCGGGGCTTCCTGGAAGACTCTTGGGTTCCTCTGAGAGGCCTCTTGGCGGCCTCTTGGGGTCTTTGGGGTCTCTGAGGGGCCTCTTGGCCTTCGGAGGACGTCCTGGGGGCCTCTGGGCACTTGTGGGTCCCTCTAATGGGCGCAGGAGGGCAGTCTTGGAGGTCTACGAGGCCGTCTTGGGGCCCTCCTGGGCCGTCTTGCGGGCCTCTTGGGGGTCTTTTGGACCGTCTTGGGGCGATCCTGCGGGCCTGTGGGGCCGCCTTGGAGCGTCAGAAGCTCGAACAAGCGAGAACGCTCAAATCATCGAACATCCCAAGGACTATCAATGATTTTGGTCTCCTGGAGGTCCTGTTGGAGCCTTCTTGGGGCGTCTTGGACCCTTCTTGTGCCGTCTGGAGGGCATCTCGGGCCGTCTGGAGGGCCGTCGTGGAGGCGTCTTGGGACCAGCTTGGGCTTTCTTGGGACAATCTTAGCCGTCTTGAGGGCATCTTGGAGGCCATCTTGATACAATGTTGGCCGTCCTTGCGCGTTCTTGCGCGTCCTTGCGCGTCCCTGCGCGTCCTTCCAGGTGGCCGGCGCATGCTGCCGAGGGCCACTGGGAACCTAAACCGGACATCTTGCACGCTGTGCACCCCTGTAGCAAGCCACAGGCCACAGGGGGCGGCGGATTGAAGACGCCTACGGCGAATCACCGCCGCCCCCTGACTTTTTGGAAGCGCCTATGTGGCCGAACGTTGAGGCCAGACCTGCCAAGTTATCGGACCATGTGTTCCCCGAATCGGTTCGGAAAGCCTTCGGGGAACACGTGGGCATCTTGAAGGTCATCTTGGCCGTCTGGAGGCCTTTTTTGACCCTTTCGGGCCTTCTTGGAGGACGTCTTGGAGAGCTCTTGGGCCGTCTTGGAGGCCATCTTGAGCGTCGTCTCGGGCCGTCGGAAGGCCGAACAAAAAGCAAATGTCAGAATCCTTCAAAAACTCATTGGAAATCAATGATTTTGGCCTTTTCGGACCTTCCTGGAGGCCCTCTTGGAGGCCTCTTGGGCCGTCTTGGGCCATCTTAGCGCCATCTTCGGCCGTCTTGGTGGGCTCCTGGCCCGTCTGACGCCGTCGGAAGCCGTTTGGGGGGCCTCTCTGGGCCGACTTGGGGCCCTCTTGGAATGCTCCAGGGCCGTCTTGGAGGCCATCTTGGCCATCCTGGGCGTCTTAAAGGTCTCCTGGGCCGTCTTGGGGGCCTCTTGGGGCCGTCTTGGTGGCCTCTTGGGCTGTTCTGGGGCCATCTTGGAGGCCTCTGGGCGATCTTTGGGCGATCTTTGCGGGCTCTTGGGCCGTCTCGGGCCGTCGGAAGGTTGAAAAGAAGCAAATGTCAGAATCCTTCAAAACCGATAGGATAATCAGTGTTTTTGGCCTTTCCTGGCCTTCTGGAGGCCCTCTTGGAGGCCTCTTGGGCCGTCTTGGGTTAGCTTCGAGCCAACTTCGGCCATCTTGGTGGGTTCCTGGCCCGTCTGACGCCGTCGGGAGCCGTCTTGGGGGCCGCTCTGAACCGGCTTGGGGCCCTCTTGGGGCGCTTCGGGGCCGTCTTGGAGGCCATCTTGGGCGTCTTGGAGGCCTCTTGACCCGTCTTGGGGCCCTCTTGGGGCTGTCTTGGGCCGTCATAGGGCCATCTTGGAGGCCTCGTGGGCGATCTTGGGGCGATCTTGGGGGCCTCTTGGGCAGTCTTGAGCTGTCGGAAGGCCGAAAAGAAGCAGATGCCACAATCTTTCAAAACCCTAAGGACAATCAATGATTTTGGCCTCTTCCGGCCCTCCTGGAGGACCTCTTGGAGGCCTCTTGGGCCGTCTGGGAGGCCTCTGGGGGGCCTCTTGGCCCGTCTTGGGCCTTCTTGGACTCTCTTGGGCCGTCTTGGAGGCCGTCTTGGACCATCTTGGGCGGACTTGGAGGCCATCTTGGACCATCTTGGAGGCCATCTTGGGCCATCTTGGCCATCTTGGAGGCCATCTTGGAGCCGTCTTGGGCAGAAAAGTAGGGAATTGAGGTCCTTGGAAAAAATCCCGGGACCCCGGCGGGACGCGCCGAAGCCTCAGGGGGAGTTCTTTTGGAAAAAGAACCGAAACCAAAACCGAGAGGGTCCAGCACGGCAGGCACCCCTTTGCTAAAGCAAAAGGGGGCGGCGGATTTTGGTGGCCTTTGGTCCGTCCCGCCACCGTGTCTGAGCTGTGGGCCGTACGCTTCTTGGTGGTCTCTTTGAATGCCTTCCGTGGGCCTCTTGGAGGCCCCTTGGGGCTCATGGGAGTGTCTGCGGGGCCTCTGGGTGGCCTTTTGGAGGCATCTGGGAGGCCTCTGGGTGGCATGTTTGGGCCTCTTGGGCGCTTCTGGGAGACTCTTGTGGACATGTTTGGGGGTCTTAGGGGCAATCTGATGGGGAAACGCTCCAAAGGTTCTTCGCTTTCTGCCTCTTGGGCTCTCGGGCCCCTCTTTGGCCGTCTTGGAGGTCCCTTGGGCTGTTTTGGGGCCCTTCCGGGCCGTGCTGGGTCCTTTTGGGGGCATCTTGGGCCGTTTGGCGGCGATCCTGGAGACCTTGGGTGCCGTCTTGGAGTGTTGGACGCCCGAGAGGTCGAGAACGTGATATTCCCAACAACCGAGGGAGAATTCATGTGTTTTGCCTCTTGGGGTCTTTGGGTCTTGAGGCCATCTTGGTCCGTCTTGGATCGCTCTTCGGGGGCCTCTTGACCGTATCGGGAGCCTCTTGGAGCCCTCCTGGCCCGTCTTTAGGCCATATGGCGGCTACGGAAAAAGTTATACGGCAAGCCCCACAAGTTATAAGGAGGACTCTTAAGGTTAAGTCGGGTCTGTCCCTCTACAAAAGGAATGCTCAAACGTAGTGAAAACATAGTCGGGGGATGTTTGTTTTGACAAGTTTTGAGCATTTTAGGGTATGTTTCGACTATTATAATCTTTCTTCCAGAATCGGCCTGTAGGAGGACAGGCCCGACTTAATCGGAAGGACCTGAGGACACCTCACTCCGTGCGCCACGGCACGGCGGCGGATCTTTGCGATTGTGCACAAGATGGTGCTAGGATTTGCCATTCCACCGCTTCGCGCACTCTGCCAGCCCGTACTTTACGTTGCATCTTCGGGGGGCCTCGCCTGTCCCCAAAATTGGTCTTTTCTTGTGCCCGACGCGGGCTCGATGCGGACTCGACGCGGACTTGGCGCGGACTCGACGCGGGTTCGACACGGATTCGACACGGATCCGACGAGTTCGACATAGATTCGACACGGATTCGACTCGGACAGGGCCGCGACGAGACAGACAAGGTCCCCCGAGGATGCAACAGAACATGTTGTATCGATCTTGCCATTTGCTCGCGTGCTTGAAGGCATTGGGAAGCCATTGGGTGGGTGTACTCTTCTCCAGCCTGTCGTGTGCAGCTCGCGCGGAGGAGGAGGAGCAGTCGCTTGGTGGATGACGGGAAGCGCCCCATGCGTGGACCGCTCGTC